CCTAAGAAAAAGGAAGCCCCTGCACCAGAGGCACCCAAGTTTGCTGAAGAGGAAGAGGCACCAAAGCCCAAAGCCAAGAACCCTCTTGACTTGCTACCACCAAGCCCAATGGTTCTGGATGACTGGAAGAGGCTTTACTCCAACACCAAATCTAACTTCCGTGAGGTTGCTATCAAAGGTGTGATATGATGACTTTCCCTTTTATGTGCTTTTCCAGTCTAAATTAGGAGGATATTTGGCTTAACCAACTCACAACAACTGTAATCTGCTGCATTTAGTTCTAGGCTATATATTACGCTGCTGAACTTCTTCGAAGCTGATCAGATAACATTCTATTAAGCTCACTGCCTTCAATTGTTTATATTCAATGCAGGATTCTGGGACATGTACGACCCAGAGGGATTTTCGCTGTGGTTCTGTGACTACAAGTACAACGACGAGAACATGGTTTCGTTTGTTACACTGAACAAGGTTGGTGGTTTCCTCCAGAGAATGGACTTGGCACGTAAATATGCCTTTGGAAAGATGCTGATTTGCGGGTCAGAGGGGCCATTCAAGGTGAAGGGTTTATGGCTGTTCCGTGGACCAGAGATCCCTAAGTTCATAATGGAGGAGGTGTACGACATGGAGCTTTACGAGTGGACTAAGGTTGATATCTCAGACGAAGCACAGAAAGAGCGAGTCAGCCAGATGATTGAAGACGCTGAGCCCTTTGAAGGTGAGGCTCTCTTGGACGCGAAATGCTTCAAGTGAAAAAGGCTCTTCACACTGCCCTTTATATCTCTCTATCACCACCATAGGGTTTGGTCTGTTACTACTTGTGTTTTGATACTTTCTAGAGTCCTTATAACCTTTTGAAATCGTAGAGAGTTTGTTTTCCTTCTTGGGTTTTGAGAACTAGTTTCCTTCTCTCTGTTATTGTCACAGAATTGTTTACTTGCATATTACAACTCTTTCTGGTTTTGGTTATTATCTTTTTCTTTCTGCATTTTCAATCGTTTTCACCTTGGTTTTGGTTCCGGTGAAGATCGGTTGATTCTAAATTTGTCGAAGTAAATTAATTATTCCGATGGTAGGCTTCAGCAAGAAGCCGTGAAGTTTGCTTAAGTAATACAAACACAATTATAAATAAGCGAGTACTATGGCTACCGTGGAAGCCAAGCAAGCATAAGAATCATATCTTCTTACTGACTCTGACTTTAAGATCATGCATAATACGGAGAATGATAGAAGGTACTGGTTCGATCTTGTGACCTTCAACGACCTTAAAGTCATAGTTTTGTATGATCTCCACTGCTACTATCTTCATCTGCAAGAGAGCCAAATGTTTACGAATGCAAGCTCTCGGATCGGCATTAAAAATCAAGAACTTGTATGTAGGTTCACGTCTTATCCCTCCTTCCTCTGAAATCCATCTCTCCGGTTTGAAATCCGATGCGTCTTCTCCCCATGCAGACCTCATTCTCCCCAACGCGTAAATAGAAATTATGATCTTTGACTCAGCTTCGACTTTGTGCCCGCTTGGAAATCTTGATGGTGAAATATGGCGAGACTCTACTTCCTCAGTTCCACCCACAGCTCCAGATCAACGGCTAAGATTCCATCTCCCAAAACATCAAAAATCTTCTTGAATTCAGGTCCTTTAGGGTAATTCCCAAAGTTTGAGCTTAGTATGTGATTGATATTCCTTGGATCGGCGGTGAATAACAAGTCCGTTCCAGTGCACCATGGCCCTTTGAAAGAAAAAGTGAGACCAGTGGCCTCAAGAACCTCGACGGTCCAGTCGTAGATACGAGGGAGTTGGACAAGCATTCCAGGAGGCATCCTGAGGAACGGCCATTCCTTGAGGATAGGCCCGGCGTCAGATTTCGTGTGGAAGAAGAAACATTGGAATACAAAGAAGAAAAGGAATGCTATAAAGACTTCAAGTAAGCCTATCATCGACATTTTTACACACAAGGATTTATGAGTAAAGATACAAATGAATCATCGCTAAATTGATATGCTATATATAACCCGTGAATAGATTCAACTGGATGCAGGATTAGGTCCACCAAGGCCGGATTGGACCAAACCCCTCAAAACTCATTTATTTCTGTCTTGTATATAAGTTGGGTAACGGACTAAAATAGTCCGTAATTAATCTCTCTTTCAGTTCCGGTTGCATTGGCAATGGTATGTGACACTACATAATTTGGTCATATTTTTTTCATTAAATGCTGCCAAGAAAAATACTGTGCTATATAATTGACAACACTCTTCTACCAAAATTCTGGTCGACACTATGCAAATATTTTGTCAAAACCTTGATAGTTCAAGAAAAATTTCATGTAATACGCCTTGGATTCTCTATAAGATGGGTAAATTGGAACATCTCGTGCATCACTTCAGTCACATTCCCATCGAGAGGTTTAAGGCAGTGTAATCAATGGTGCATTACGTCAGGTACATATGAAGTGTGGATTAGATTATGTGGTGCCTCACTAGGTCGCGTGCCCTAACTTGCAACACAATAAATACATCTTCACACACTGAAAAGGGTAAAAAGAGGGTTGAACAATTTTGGGAAAAATTACTAAATGAGGGAGACCAAGTCTGCCCACATGATCCATATTAAGCA